CTATCAATGCCGGCATCATGAAATGCTGCCGCAATGTTTTCAAATGCAGTGAAGACTGCCTTTTCACGTGAAAGACAAAAATTCCTGCATCTTGTTTTCTGGGAAAGACTATACCAGTGAATGACAGAGTTAAGCTTGTGTGGAAACGATGCTAGATGTTTCCCCAACTGGGATATATAAGATATAAGGCGGTACTCAGAGCCGACTGTTTTCTTTAAACGAATTAACCAAAGATGTCATTAATTGAAACTGAACACATTGGTCAGTTATATAGAAACAGCGAGCGAACATGGTCGCATACCAAAGACAGAATTTCTCGGGAATTGTGAGGAATTTGTTGTTACGCGAATGGCTCTAAAATGGAAGACAATATGGGTCTAGTGATTCAGATTGAGAACCCAGGAATCGAGAAATACTACTGTCGTTTAATGCAACGAATGCTCAATTTATTTAATTTGGAGTGTTGGAACTTTGTGTAGGACTAATTATCTTCCTCGGAATGAGAAAGTCAGAGTTTAGTATGATGATATGTATTCTGAATGGACAGATAAGATTATGGCATAACTATGCAAAACGAACGGATTCAGAGGATTGTAGAGCTTTCGGAGAGGGCAGTGAAATGCTGTGAATCCTTCTCTGTCATTGCCAGGCTTTTATCGGAATTAGATTCAAATAAATAAACAACTACGCCATATCACAAAGGGATCTATTTACTGGAGCCAAGTGCGTCCCATTGCGAGAACGACCTGCTAATCTAACAACTACGCCCTTGAAGCTAATTTGTAACCATTGGACTATAATTCCTTTCATACTGTATAAGCTTTGGACTATAATTCCTTTTATACTATATAAGGTTTTTCCAACAAAATTTGCTGTGTAAAACAAGTCACAAAAGATCGATAGTGACCTTGAATCTGATGGAGTATACATCTTCCATTTATCCTAACAAGATTCCACGAAAAATAATTTAAGACAATTCAAAGTTATCATTCGGAATTCACTTGACAATTGAAACTACTCCCCTAAATGAAAGAAGACCCAGCTGATTGGTTTATATACTGTTAGCTCTATTAAACGAATGATTGGCAATTGTGGAACTGTTACAAAAACAATTATAATTAGGGACATAACAATTTATAAAGGGCCAATATAAGCACACACCTCTAATACTAATGCTTGTTTCAAAAACGCCTGATGTAGGGTATTTTTTGAAATTATATATTCAAATATACTTATACATGCATGTCCATCACCTAAATCAACCAAATACACATTTAGTATAACCAAGTATCTACCCCAACAAGTTGTTTGCAACAGAGAAAAATTATTCATTTAAAATTATGTTTACGGTTTTTATCTGTATTTCTTCTTCTCGATTCAAATGTTTTAAAAGTTTTTTTTTTATAATTCTGATGTCAATGAATTGCGAGGTAGACAAACTAAATAAAAAGTAATTTTATGTTGTTTTGTTTATTGTTTATTTTTTTCTGTTAATTTAGTTTTTAAATAATACATTCTACACTCTACAGTGGTATTAAATGTTTGAGATAAAGTGACCTTAAATATATTGGTTTTGGAGGAAAATATATTTGTGATCATAAATGATCCATTTAATCGGGTTCCCGATTGGGTGATTGTCTCCAACTATGGTTTTTGAAAAATGGACAAGTATCGCAAACGGTTAAGTAGAGTCGAAAGGATTCTCACCAAGATTGGATATGAAGTAATCTACTAAAGCAGGCTAGTAGCAGAGGGAATAGTAGACAATTTATACCCTTTTCCCTATCTTTACGACAGTATTCATTAATGGAAAGCTGAAACCGAATTGCATACCTGCAATTCGGTTATTATTGCCAGCAACTTCGAACCTTAAAAAAGCTAACCTGCCAGGTATAATTGATTAGTTCTATAATTGTACTATTCAAACTCGGTGACAGTAAAATGCTAATTTAAAAGGTTTAAGAATATTTATACCAACAAAAATTTATCATGAATCAGGGGATTAAGAATATTTTAAGTGTCGAGCAGACAAGTATATTTCTAAAATTAGGTAGAAGGTCTCCTTGTTTTTAGTATTTCCTGAGGATTTGCCAAGACAAAAAGTGACACGAGGGTTGAATCTGAATATTCTCGCCACTAGGAATCCATACCAGGGCTCAGAACCGTTTTATAACGCTTTAAAAGAGAAAATCCAAAAAGATAAAGACGATCAAATACTATTCTTCTTGCAGATTCTGTATAGAGGAAACCTTAGAACATATACTGTGTAATTACCCACTACTAGGGTCCCACACTGCTAAGATATTGGGTGCAGCAATACTTGCCCCAAAGACAGCTTCCTCTACCAACTATGTCAGTCATCTTCAAGCGTGAACTTAAAGTATTATGGAAATCCGCACCAAAGTTCTACAATCCAAAAACATATTAAATAAAATATAAGGGAAAGAAACCGAATACTCTTTCATTGGTAAAATCTGCATCACTTGTTACCCAGCCTCTCGGCAATAATCATAAATGAAAGAGCGAATGTTATAATGGGAAGGTAACTTGAGAAGTTAACTTCACAAATGCAAATTATAATCACAGAATCCCATGTGGTCACTTGGAATAGTGGGTGGGACGGCAAAGATACTATGGGGTAACTCACGATGAATGTCAATGTGCTTAACGAGAACATCTGCCTTGATGGCCTTATTTCACGGTGTATTTTTTATCAACTGTGTCGACTTAAAAGCGGTCCACCACTCGCCCCGGAATGTCTTCTATGAAGAACACTCAGGTGGTAAGTTTTTGTACAGGGCTGTGTCGTTTCAGATGTGATCCAGGCAGAAGTCGAAAAACATCTGTCGCACTTACTCTAGGTATACGGGTGGATAAGATCCGCATAGCCCTACATTCATCCCATATCATATGTACTTAACACAGACTCATTTCTAACGCTTAGTCCCACAGTCACTCCTATCTGTGGTACCTGTTGTCTTGGCAATAGCACCGAACTTATCCCGAATTATAAACTTTACCGTGCATTGGTTTTTTTACCGACATTCATTTCCCTCGAATTCCCACAGCCACACCGAAGTGACCTCTCCAATAACCGGGACAAGACAAAGTCCGAAACTCTGCCTTGCGAGCTACCGGTTCTCGTGGTACCAGATTATGTGGTTCTCTGGTTCGGCCCCATGTCAAATTATTCCAAGGAAAGTCCGAAGATACATTTTATAGTCACGGCAAACTAGAAGTACTGATAGAACCTCTTCTCCCCGGGATGTCAATAACACCAAGATGAGGGTATTTCATCAGGGTAACATGCTCCTGGAAGAAAAAAAGCCTCTTCAGAACGCGAAAGTTCGAGGCTAGTAAGCTCATTCATATCCTGAGTGAACGGATTCAAATGAATATAAACTTTCTCTGTCATTGCTTGGCAGCGATGTTATTGAATAATTTTACTACTGAGTTCTGCATATTAATATATGTTTATTTTTTTTTCATATAATGGATCGTTCAACAATAGCGATCAAGTTGTATACATTCTTCCTCCTACCGACATCAGAATTAACAACTCTATGAAAGCATTGATCATGTTAAATATCAGATTATGTGGTTTTCTGGTTCGACCCCATGTAGAACCTCTTTTCCACGGGATTACAATTACTTCAAGCTGAGGATATTTCATCAAGGTAGCATGCCCCTGGGGGATCGACTCAGGAAGAAAAAAGCCTCTTCAGAATGCGTTAGTTCGAGGCTAGTATACTCATTCATATCCTAAGTGAACTCACCGGATTATGAGCATTTTCATAGCTCGTCACACAGTTCTAAAACAGAACTAAAACCAATAGAGTCCTAATAAAAGGACGACGTCTTGTCACCACTCCTGTTACATTACTACTTATCTAAATTCCAGCACATCCCCAAAGAAAGATGATTAGTACTATATGGCGATCAGGCACGTTAATCATCTTTGTGGTCTGGTGAATGGTTATGTCGAAGTAAAACAGAACCACTTATATGAGGAAAGGGAGCTTTCAACTTTAATATCAAATTTATAAAAGCTCCTCCAGAACATTTCAGAGAGGACCTTGAAGAGAATAGGAAAAAATATTAATAAATATGAAAAAATTAGAAGCAGAAATTCAGAGACGTTACCACAGAAGTGTAGGGTATTATTTGATCAAATTTGACTGGCCTTAATTTTCTTAAATGTTATAGTTTATTATTTATTTAGTTTTGTGGTGTGTTATTAGTTTTTTTTATATTTCTTCTCTAGTTTAAAATACATAAAAAACATAAAATCATAAAAAAAACATTTTTAAATTAATATGGGCTTGAGGACGACATAGAAAATTGTACGCAAAAAAAAACCCATCAACAAACATTTTGGGGGAAAAACTGAGTTTGTTAAAGGCAGATGTGCTCAAGTACTATTGTGGAACTAAATATAAGTATTTGACTCCCCCCGTATTTAAAAAAGAGATGCGGGTAAAAATAAATAACAGAAATTATTTTATTATTCTATACAATAAGAGAACAACGAGATCAAACGAGTGAATGAGTGAAAATAAATGGAATGAATTTAAATGAGAATTTGTATGATTTTTCGCCGTTATAATTTTACAAATTATTTTTGTTGAGTGAAATTGTTTCAGATCTTCGGATTTTTTCACAATTTACGTGATTTAGTGCTCTACATTAAAATTGTTTGTATTCTGTAAGTCTGTCCATACATCCATTCCATACATATGTTTTTAAATGAACATTCATTTATGTTTATTTCGACTCGCATTGTGAGCAAATGCTGCTGGTTGTTTTGTATTTTTGTACTTTTTTTTCATTACAATTGAGTACAAGAGTATAATAAATTTCACAAAAAAAAAAAAACCTAAAAAGATGCGTATCTCACAATTTCATATGGGGATGTGAAATATTGACGATGTTCTAAAAGATCTCGCCGTTTTGAGTAGGAGGCCGCTATAAATGATCAATTTGAAACAGTTTCTATTTTGCTCTAGACATATTAACAACGCGAAATTCGTTTTGTAATAGGTGTAATACAGTGTTGCCATTTAATTGAATAAAATTAAAAAAAATCCAATAGAAAATTTTTAATGCTCATATTGTTTAATTAAATAAACAAACCAAAAGAAAAAACGAGAGAGTTTTTTCTATTTTCAAAAGCAAGAAAAAGAGTAAAAAAAATATACGATTTTGTATAAAAACGTAAAAGATTTTCCTCCATCTGGATTTGTGAGTCTCTAACACCGAGTGTATGTGTAAAACAGTGATTTATAACGAAATTATATGGAAATTTTCAAATACGTTTCAAAAGGTATATATACCAAGAAAGAAAATAAGCATAAATAATAACAAATTTAAAATAAATTAAAAATTTTAAATTATAAACAAAGCAAATCGTAAATAATATTTAAAGAAAAATATCTAAAAACTAATATTTGGATAAGAAAAAATAATAAAATTAAAGAAAAATATTATTAAGAAATTTCGGTGAAATATTTAAAATTTTTCCTTGGTGCTAATAACAGTGTGATAAGGAATAATTCATACATTTATGTAGGTATATAGCAATAATTATATATAAATATTAAATGATAAAATGATTTTTATAACTGAAAATTTTGTCCAGAATGACACTACTTTTCTTATGACACAACCCTTAAATACCCATCAAACAACAATAGTTTCTTTGTTTTCAAATTCAAATTTTCTGTCGTTATTTCAAACAAAGGTAAAAAGTGTTTTTGGATCGTTTTTATAACGTTATGAAAATAATGTGACATATATGTGACATATAATAATTCATACAAGTTTAACATTTTTTAAAATTAAGAATTCTCCTCAAATCTCAACTGTACCTTTATAAACTTTTGCTAAATTTAAAATTCATTCATAATAAAATGTTTATTTTTGCAAATGTTTATAAAGCAAATCTTTCATGATTTTTTTATAAAATAAATATTTCTATTCTATTGCTATCTATTGCTATCTAAATGCTATTGTATACATATTTTAAATCGAATAAGAAATCGTATATATTTTCGCAAATTCGCTTCAAATATAATTATATTCAAAATGAAATGTTTTGAAACTTCTATTATAATTTTTAAAGGTCTTTAGTATAATTTTAGTTATACATATTAACAAGTAAAATTTCCACTATAATTTGTGAGAATATTAATTGAATCATAATCAGAAAACTCTAAAAAAAAACAAAATTTTCCATAAATTTTGCAGTATTTTTAGTGATTTCTTCCATCCCCTTGTAAACCTTGTAATCAAACTATAGGTCGTAATTATCAAGATAATTTGGAAAATACAACCGTACACAGAGGGAAAAGGAAATATACTCGCCTGTTACCAAATTGACACCAAATAGTTTCTAATTTTTCAATAACATCTGTTGTCAAAGTATATACATACGTACGACAAAGTATATACATACGTACGACAACACTATGTAATGTTGACAACGCAACGTTGTCAACATGCTTTTCAATGACTACTATTTACCGTATGCATTATTTTCAAGTACTCTTATAATGACTTACATATGTATAATCATATATGTAAGTACTTTATTTTGAGATCTCACCTCTAGTAAAGGCGACATTTTTAGAGAGTACAACGATCTCTTTGAAAATTTGTTTAATAAGAAAAAATTATTCTTTACCATAATAAGACAATTTAAATCGCCAAGAAACATATCGATCAGTTGAGTTATATATCGCTACCCCAATCAGCTCCAGATTCATTATACTTAAGCTATAGTTTTTTATTCCCAAGCATAAAGCTATAAACTGGAAGAAATGCTAAATACAGCATTAGCTTTAAGCCACAAGTCCATGCTATCAATCATGCCAACTGATTTATAACGACGACGTATTGATCTGTAAGAGACCTTACTCTTCCAGTTTTAAACTTTTCATTATATGTGCTTCAGGACACATAGGAATAATTAGCATTGAAAGATCAAATATACTTACTATAAAAGGAAGGGATCTTGATATGGACGTTAGCATCCCATACGTCGACTAGTAGTAGTGGGTAGAGCGAGAAGTAACCTCAAAATGTGTACAAATCAGCATATTCTGGAATCCTAAACGCGATCGGTATTTCTTACCGAATTGTTTACCGGTCGTGTAGTAGGGAGCCGGTGTATGCTGGAGAATTGTCAGGTTAGCGTTCAGAAGTTGCCTGTCATTCCGTAGAAAGATCTTTATGATGATGGGAATGGAACTGATGCAAAAATTGGTGAAAGATTGAAAAAGTCGCCATATATTGGAGACTAGTACTGATTTAGTATGACTTTTTACGCTTCGGAGAAGTTTCATGCTACGCGACTATTTGTCGGGGCAATTATTGGGTTCAGTTGACTTTGGAAATTCTTACATCCTTTGTTACAGATCGGTTCATGAAGGGGGATCCTGATTTATTATCTTGGGTATTTCGGGCTACCAAATACGTCTCTAGGTGCTGTTGTTAAACCAATAGAAGCCATCTCAGTAGTGTGGTTGGGCCACTTTAAGAGGTCCAGGAATGCGCTGGGGTGAATCTTTAGATGATGAGAATGTTTATAGGGACAGAGCATTCCTCATAACATCAATAGGGTGTTTTCACCTGATGTTGGGTACGCCCCTTCTATTGACTCTAACCAGTGATTGCCTTTTCCTTTGTCGGGGTTAGATTGAGCTTACTCAGGACACCTGTCCTTCCCCAACGGGGCTACTATGGCAAGAGATTAGATAGCTCGAGTACTTCAGCAAAGTGCTTTTACATGGACCGGCTTAGCCATGTACAAAAATTGCAACATGATTTCTTCATTGAAGATTGAAAGGGCGATGTTAGACCGTTCTCAAGGCTGCCCAGTGGAAGAAAAAGACCACCGTGAGATAGGAGGCTGTATATCACATCAAAATATTTTGTTAACTGAATGTATTATCCTTTAATGTTCAGAAACTCTGTTTCCTAGACGGAATGTTATATCCGGAATAGTATCACTTCCAAGATATTTGGCTCGTACTTCGACGAATGCCTGACAGTCGCAATGAAAGTGTTCCAAAATTTCACTGTCTTCTCCACATGCTCTACATTCGTCAAAATCCGCACATCCAATTTTGTATAGCTGTGTGTCCACTCAGAAAACGTAGCATTATACTAACCTTAGACTTACTCATTTTAATGGGATTTCTACTCCTGCTCTCATTTGGGTCACCCCATAGGATCTTTGCAATTCTACCCACCGATTCCATTTTCCAAGAAGTCTTATTGGATTATCTCACTGTCGGTAAATATTTTAATCCAATTTACGCATTCATCTATTGCTCATTTTTCTGCCTGGAATATGGTGTTTTGATTAGGTAAACGGTAGTATATTTCTGTTTCTGGGTTCCCAATTTAGAGCCCTAAGTGTAGCAACAGATTCCTGCGGGTATTAACTGTAATATTGCGCTTGACCAAGACATTATATCTCGGATCAGTGTTTCAAAGTTTCCGACATATTCTGTGTCTGCTATGCGATCGGACACATCCGATGATTGTGTATAGCCTTCCAATGTGTACAGTATACATTGATAACGTGTCCTATAAGCCCTTTTGGGTAGTTCGGCTTAAGTTACGAGCATTGGTTGACGTAGTACTCATGACACCACTTATACCCAAGCTTGAGTAGCTTGATATTACAACACAAAGAAGTCCAGCAGCAAGATGCATAAGCTAAAATTGGTCTAATTACACTTTTATAAAGCCAATGTGTCCCATTTTATGCCTAGGTAGGTAGGTAGGTAGGTCGATAGGAGGATGTATACTACATCAAATCCGAAAAAATACACCTAGGCCACTATCGGGCCTGTTGTGCGCTCCTTATCATGAAAAAAAAAAACTGAAAGAATTATTTTTCAGTGTTCAGAAACTCAGTTTCCTGAACATAATTCCTAAGAATCTTCCAATCAGTGTTAGTCAGGAATGTTATTTCCGGAATAACATCACTTCCAAGATACTTTATACTTTTATGCCTATAGTTCTCCTACATATCGCTCAGCACTGATGTGTCTTGTTGATCCCATCCTCTATGTGGTATTTCTATTTTAATTTCCGGTCAAGGATTACACCTAAGTACTTAACTCTGTATGTCACCGGTATCTTCTTGCCCAGAAAATAGGGTTCAGTATACTTAAAAATTTTGGTCTTTCTTTTGAAAAGAAAGATTTCCGTTTGCGGCCGGTTAACGTTGAGGCCTCTTGGTTGAACCCAGCTTAAGGCCGTATTCAGAGCCTCCTCAGATCTTCTACAGAAGTAATTTGGATCCTTTACCCTTAGAAGTACTTATTACGACATCGTCAGGTTTAAGTCCTTCCTTGGTTAGGGTCCGTAGGAGGCTATTAATCGTTGCAATCCAGAAGGAGACAAAATGCCACCCTGTGTTGTACCGCAAAATACCATTTTCCTGATAGTTATATAATACATCTCACAGCTTATCCATCTGTTCTTTAGCATGTAGTTGATCCAGCTATGTCTGGTATACTGCTTTTAACCACAGTATAGACTATCCATTCCAAGGTTTTAAGTAGGAAGGACGTAATGCTTATCGGTCGATAGGACTAAGGTGTCGCGTCGCTAGGTTTTCCATGTTTGGGTATAAATATTACCCTTGCATCCTGCCGTTTAATTGGGGTATATGTCAGTTTCAAGCAGGCCGTGAAAATCTGTGAGAGATGTACGGATACCAGTCCCGTCTCCATCTGCAAAAGTGCTGGGAAAATGCCATCCGGACCTTTATAGGGTGCAAAGCTCTTGATGCCAGATGTAATAACTATTTCTGTGTTTGCATCCCCTTTCTCTAATACCAGTTGGAAAATGAGAGTCTATTAGGAGTTTCATTGTCTTCTCCATATCCTCCAGCCCGTGTCACCGACCATTGATTCCGGTTGGACATGAGTTTTAAATAGCAATTTTTTATCTTCGATACATCATTTAGGCTATTTACCTTTTCACAGAACAGTTTCCAGATGTCTCGTTTGGCTCTTCGAACGATTTTCTTATATTCACCAAGTTTACTATGATACTCATCCCAGTATACTGCGGTCTTTTTACGCCGTGCCGGAATAATCAGAGCTCGTTCCAAGACCCACTAAACCACGATAATGATCATAAAATTAAATTTATCGAAAAAATAATTTTTAATGTATGTATATAATTAAAAAATTATTTTATACATAACCGATGATCAAATACCTAATCACCCTGTAAATTTCATTACTATCTTTAAAAAAAGAAACAAATTAACATTTTATTCTTTAAACGATTTGAAAACGCTTAAAATGTCATTGGCATTCTAAAGTGAATTACTCTCTATACAAAAAATTCAACATTGACTACAACAAAACAATACAACTTGTACTTAAACGCAAAAATTCCTTAAATCACAGTAATTTTTTTATTAAATGATTTAATAACTGAAAAACTCTCAGACAAACAGATACACAACACAAGTAAAGCCGGAAATCTGTGCGACATTTTTAATTAATGTCAAGTTAAAAAATAAAATTTTACAAACTGCTG